GATAAAAAATTCTTTGTAGGCACAAATATTCTTATGTTTTATTTTCAACAGCTCCATCACCTGTCGGGGAAAAAATGACCCATTAGGAGGAAAAAAAGGATGCGTAAAACTCAAGTGTCGTGTCACACACAACACACTCCGTTCAGTGACTAAATTCATGCCAGTGTTGAATTTGCACGATAAATTAACCCAACTAAGCAGACTCACAAAATACACCAAGCCGTTGTAAAAAAAAAAAAAATACTGTGTGTGATTTAACACAACATTTCACGTGTTGTGAGAATGGTGTTGCTAGGACTTTAACCAACTTGGTTAAGAATTGTGTGCGAACCCAAACCCTAGAATCAAAGTTGGAAAACTCCCATTTAAGCCGTAAAGTTCCTTTTTCTTCCTCAAGGCAGGAATAAAGATGAGAAATAAATCATGCCGACGTATTTTTTTTTATAATCGCACCATAAGCAACAGATCTGACATTATTTCATGGAATATATTTTTAAATTAATGATAATCAAGGCACATTACCTCTTGGAGGGCGTAGTTCGCCTGATTTTCATCGATGCATTCGACCTGCCCCAAAAGAGTCAAAACAAGACAATCCTTTATGATTAAAGTTTAAATATATCATGATATAAAAAAAAGCAACCCCAAAAACACAAACTAAGAAACAAACATATTAAAAATAAACACAATTCCTGTTTTTCCAAGGCAGGTAGCTCTCGACTGTTCATTTAGCAACCGTTCAAAATTACAATGGCACTGAAAAAAAAGTGAGCTTTGACCGTTTTTCACCCTTACGACCGCATCCCAGTGGTTGCCTGATCAACATTGGGGACTCTTTGTCAACTGAGTCATACTTATGACGAACAATGGGGAAACCAGATTTGCTTAACAACCATGTGACTAGCTTAACCCTTGCAAGGATTCGCTTAGCAACTGTGGCAAGAACGGTTGTAAAATGAGATGAAAATTTTGGGCTCCACTGGGGCCGTAAGTCGAGTGGTGACCTCTCTTCGCCAAGCTGAGTATTTGAGCAAACATTGGCAATATCCGTTCCTGCCACCTGCCGGTTTTATTCTAGTTTTATGCTTAAAGAAGCAGAAAGATTTGGTGAACACGAAACGGGGTGTAAAAGGCTGAGCATCACCTTTAAATCCCTTGAAAGAAATCCTGGCTGCAGCTAGGCTGGTTGAACCCTAAACCTAATTTCGTTTTAGCTAGGAGGGAGATCATAAAGCTGATTTTATCCTAGAAGGATTTCGTTGGTGCCTTCTGCATCTTTTTCGACCTGTGGCCTAGCCTCTTGAGAGACTTCGCGGGGACGTGTTTGGGAATCACAGCCTGTGTTGCCATAGTGACTTGCCTTTCCTTGCCTCCCCTCTCACCTTTTTCAACATGTATTTCTTTGTGGCGGTTTCTTTTCCTTTTGCCATGGATTCCACCACCAGCATCGTTCCCAGAGCCCCTGGGGGGAGCTCCTTCACAATCTGCATTGCAAGCCAACAGATAATATTTTAATAATAATACACAGCTCCTCTGTAATGGCCGAGCTCATGCCCAGTGCATCTGTCCGTCTACCTATCCAACTGTCTATATCTGTTTGTCTCATCTAATCTAGCTACCTGATGTCTATGCCTCTTAGCAATGTCTTCTAATCTCTCTCTCTCTCTCTAATCTATCTCATCTCTCTCCTCATCTATCTATCTATCTATCTACCTACCTACCTACCTACCTATCTATCTAATATGTAATCTGTCTGTGACTCTTATTTATCTAATTTCTATTTCTCTAGTTAATCTATCTCATATCTCTCTCTCATCTATCTACTCATCCATCTAATCTATCTATCTATCTATCTATCTATCTATCTATCTATCTATCTAATATGTAATCTGTCTGTGACTCTTATTTATCTAATTTCTATTTCTCTAGTTAATCTATCTCACATCTCTCTCTCATCTATCTACTCATCCATCTAATCTATCTATCTATCTATCTATCTATCTATCTATCTATCTATCTATCTATCTATCTATCAAAAGAAACAACAGGACAGAGACGGTAGGCACGTTGGTCCGCTTAGATGGGGAGAGGAGGAACTTCGCCCGCTGCGTTGTTAAAAGTTTGGCTATGGATCACAGACACACACACACACACACACACACACACACACACACACACACACACACTTTTCAAACACGAGGTTTTTTCCTCTTTCCTGGAAAAAAAAGGGGGAGGGCTGGAGGTCCAAATGCCCTAACCCCCCCCCCCCCCCCCCCCCTCGCCACGCCCGACCTGGTACTTCTCCATGGGCGAAGGAGAAGGACGGGGCGGGGGCGTCGAGGGGCGTCAACGGCTCTCCCAGCCCCCTCCCCGCGGAGCTCGTGGTTTCCTGCCCTTCCCCGTCTGTTTTCTCCAGCCCCCTCCCCACTTTTTCCCCTTTCCCATCCGTGCCCCGTTCCGTATTCCTTTCCTCCGTCCATCAGGACGTTCCGAGAAAAGAAAAGAAAAGAAAAGAAAAGGAAAAAAAAACAAGATTTCGACTCGCAAAGGCGCCCCGGGGCAGCTGCCCAAAAGGGTTTTAAGAACGTAGGATCAGTCCTAAGGTTGGAAGGGGACCTTGGAGATCTTCTAGTCCAACCCCTCGGGCTCACGCAGGAGAGCCTCTACCCTTCTGGACCAACAGCTGTCCAATCTCTTCTTGAAGCCAGAGCTTTTATTGGGCTCTCTCCCCTCCACCCCCCAAAAAAGGCAAGGAAAGGGGGGAACTACTTTTGAGCAGGGGGGTGGGATCTTTCCAGTTTGGGAGGGTCTCCCAGCTTCTGCAGAGTCCCGTTTTGCAAAGGAAAGGAAAGCCGTTTGCTTTGGGGAGCCAACTTTGGGGAGCAAAACTCTCCCAATCGGAGGCAGTTTGTTCTGTTAAAAAAAAATGTAAACACTTGTTTTTTTCCACCTCTGGGCAAAGAACAGCATATATTTAGAGATTAATTTGGTGTGATTCTCAGCAGTCTGAAGGGGGAAAAAAAACTGTCCTCCAAAGGAAGAAAGAGTGGGGAAAATTATAGGGAATTATTAGGGAAGAAAGAAGGAAGGAAAGGAACAAGGAAGGAAAGAAAGGAATGAGGAAAGGAAGGGGAGGGAGGGAAGAAGGAAGGAAAGAAACAAGGAAAGGAAGGAAGGAAGGAGAGGGAGAAAGAAGGGGAGGGAGGGAGGAAAGAAGGATGGATTTAAAAACAAATTCTTGAAATAATATATGGAAGGGAAATTGAGTCCAAAACAATAGCCCTAAATACATCAGAAATAGAATATCAGCTAAAAAGCTGGCTTGAAAGTTAAAGAAATTGGAAATTTAAAAAAATGTTGATAGAATAAAGAGAATATTTGTAACTCAGTTTGATACTCTGAGCTTGGTTGTTCTCTTGTTACACAACTAGGTAACAGCATCAGTGCTGGCAATGAAAACCGCCAAGTTCAAAGGGCACCAAGGACCCCACAACATTAAAAGTGTGTTGAAGCTAAAAACACCAGAAAGCAGCTAAATTAATTCTTTGCATCCGTCTTTATTGCAGAAAAATATAGGCACAATACTTCTACTCCAATTAACTTTCCCAGAATGGGTGCTTTAAGAACAGAAGAGGGCAAGAGACAATAGTCAGACTGATCAAACATTAACCCAGTACCAAGTCCAAGAGGATAGCTTTGGAAAAGTAAACAGGCCATCCCTGAAATGTGAAACTCCCAGGTTTAGCCTCCTCATTAAAATAACACCAATGCCTGAACAGAATTTGGGAAGATCCTGGGAATTACAGACCAGTTTATTCTAACCTCTGTTCCAGGTAAGGGTATCGACACATCATGGAAGAGAGAGATCTTATTAAGCAGGCTGCTAGGGGAATAATCTGGTTGGAAGAGCACCAACATGACACTTGGCAAGGTAAATTGTACCACCCACGTCTAATAAGCAAATAAATGCAGGTATTTTGGGACTTTCAGAGAAGTTTGAATGATGGATTCACCTGTCACACTAAACCATGGGGGGGGGGGGGGCTTCTTGGTTTGGCATGCCCATTGAAGCCAATTATATAGGGAGTCCTTGACTTATGTCTACAATTGAGCCCAAAATTGCGGTTACTAAGCGAGATTGTTGTTATGAGGTTTGCCCTATTTTACTAACTTTCTTGCCCCAGTTGGCTGACTACCATGATAGGTACTAACCCCAAGGGCCAAATCCAGTCCAAACATCTGGTTGGCAGACAGGACAGGTGGATCAAAATGTCAAATCCATCCTAAACATCTGGCTGGAATGACTTGACAGGTAGATAAAACGCCACGTCCAGTCTAAAACATCGGGTTGCCTGGCATGACAGGTGGGTCAAAGTGCCACGTCCCTCCTAAACATCTGGCTGATGTGACAGGTGGCTCAAAAATGCAAGGCGCCACATCCAGACCAAACATCTGGCCAGGTGACAGGAGGGGGGGGTCAAGATGCCAGATGCCATACCCAGCCTAAACATCTGGCCCAGCCCGCGGGCGGGTCGAAGTGCCACGTCCAGCCTAAACATCTGGCCAGATGACTCGATGGGTGTGATCCAAACGCCAAGCCCACCATAAACATCTGGCCTACATGACTCCATAGCTTGGCCAAAAATGCGACATGATCCAGCCCAGGTGCCCCCACCCCCACCCCCAAAAATGTGAACTCCAATCCAAACCTCTGCCCGGCTGAGATTCGATAGGAGGCCCCCAAATCCAGCCCCCCCCAAGCCACTGGACGCGCCCCCCCCGTTTTTGGAAGCGTGTCCCCGCAAAATCCCTCCGGCCCTTTTTGGAGCGCGCGTTTTTACGCGCGGCGCCGCATCTCTCCAACCTTCTTTTTTTCCCCCGCTCTGCGGGCGGGGATCCCGGCCAGGGCGGGACGAAGACGGGGGTGCGGGGGCCGGCCTTCCTTTCCCTTTTGCCCGCCCTTCCCCTTCCCTCCCGGCGGCTCTCTGGGCCTCGCGCGGTTCCTTTAAGAATCGGCCTACGTGGCACAGCCCAGGCAAGGCGAGCGCAAAAAGCGGGCGCCGCCACTTCCTCGGGCAAGCGCGGCGGGGGCGGCAGCAGCAGGAGGAGAAGCAGCTCTGCCAGAAGCCGGGGGGGCGGCTGTGCCTGCCTACAAATCGGCTTTCCCAGCAGATTCCCCCCCCCCCGCCACACACACAAGAAAAATAATCATAATACCCCCCACCCAGCCATGGGGAACAACGACCTGATGGGCAGCGCAGAAGATTTTGCAGACCAGGTGAGCGCGTTTGGGTCCTTAAAGGGGGGGTCCTTGCTTTGCAAAGAGAGGGGAGGGGTGGGCGTCCTATGGGAGTTCCACTCCCCTCTCCCCCGTCTCCATTTCCATCCACTTTTGCTTTTTCCCCGACGGTCCTGGTGCAAATTGAAAGGGGGTTCTATCCGATTTTCCCTGCCTGCCTTGTAAATTATCCTCTGCCACAAAATAAATAAACAAATAAACGAAGCAAAAAGCCAACGGAAAGGAGGAAAAGTCTCTTTGGGGGGGAGGGAGGGAGCGGCAGGGCGTGGGGGCGCATGGCTTTCTCCATCCGCCAGCCCCCCACCCATCAGAGCTGACTCTGCTTTTGGGGAGTGGGTGGCTAGGCAGTTGCTCCCCCCCCCCATCTCTCTGGAGCTGGGTGAGCAGATTGGCCGAACAAAAGGCTCCTTTTTATTATTATTTTTATTTGAAAAAACAAAAGGGATGGGTTTTTCTTCCTTGCCATCTTGGTGAAAAGAGGCCCACCCCAGGCTAAGATCAGCTTGCAATTAAACCCTGATTGCTGGATGAGCTTGGGTTTAATTTAGCCTGGCACATATAGACACACACACACACACACCCTTAGCCGTAAACCAGGGCTTGGGAGGGGGGGTGTAGGGTAGGGTTGTCGGCAAAAGGCAGGCGGGTTCTTGGACAAAATGGTAGATCCGGCCTAACAGAAGGTAGTGTTGTGTGTATGTGTTGTGTTACACTTTTGTCTTCCTTCATTTTTGGGTGGCACTGAGGAATGGCGGGGGTGGGGGTGTCCTCTCACTGCCCAGGATTTAACCATGCTTGATGTAGGATCTAGGGTTGGCTTGTTTTTTTTCCGTGCCCACTTTTTGGGGTTTAATGCCTCTCCCTGCTCACAGTCAGATGATAGGAGCAGATACTCCTCCACTTAACCACAATTGGGAATGTGTGTTGCTAAGCGAAGAGGGTTGAGCCAAGGGACTCAGGTCTGATTTTTACAACCTTTTCTTATTGTTGTTGTTGCCACGGTCGTTCAGTGAATCACTTGGTTGTTAAGCGAATCTGGCTCCCAGGAGAATATTGTAAGATACGGGATATTTGGTACGAATGGATAAGGATGCAAAGGCGTCAAATGATAATGTATGAGAAATCACAAAGTAATAAGGCTCATGTGTAAAATGACATATAAATGTATATCTGTATAAAATGCTTAGAATGATGAAGAATGAAGATTTAAATATAGAGATGGATAACACAGTAATAGGGGATATTCACAAATGTAAGCACTGTTATAGTAACGTTGCAAAGTGTGGAAATTTGATCCAGATTTGGTCAAGTTTCCGCTCTTCTGCGAAGCTTATCTGACAATTATAGATGCTTCCGCTGATAGGAAACAGTCTTCAATCCTGTTGTAAATCAAAATATGTCCCTTTCAGTAGTGAGATCCATTTAATCAAGAAATAAACATGTTTGGGGCGGCCCGGAGTTAATTCTGGGGCTGGAACTTGCAGGTTTTTCTCTGTATAATTGTATTTAATATAATTCATATGTATAACTTGATGCTTTATTGGCCAAGTCTAATTGGACACACAAGGAATTTGTGTTCTCAGTGTACACAAAGCGGAAAAAAGCAATCGAATCATACTTGGAAACAAAACGATATAAATTGTAAAGATACAGGCCGCACAGTTATAGTCGTAAGTGGGAAGAGATAAGGAATAGGAGGGATGAGAAGAAGAATACTAATACAGTCTAAGTAGTTGGACAGTGTTGAGGGAATGAGTTGTTTAGCAGAAGTGATGGCGTTGGGGGAAAAACTGTCCTTGTGTCTAGTTGTTGTGGTGTGCAGGGCTCTATAGCGTCGTTTTGAGGGAAGGAGTTGAAACAGTTTATGTCCGGGATGTGAGGGGTCTGTGGATATTTTCACAGCCCGTTTTTTGACTCCAGGCAGCGTACAGGTCCTCGATTGAAGGCAGGTTGGTAGCTATTGTTTTTTTTCTGCAGTTCTAATTACAGAGGGAGAAGGGTTTCTTTGATCCCTTCCTGATGTTTCTGGAACCTTCCTTGGAAGGAAGTGGAGCCAAATGGGATCCAGCGTCTCGCCCTTACTTTACCTTTCTTTCCCTCCCACCTCTCATGCCAGTTCCTGCGGGTGACGAAGCAGTACCTTCCCCACGTGGCCCGGCTGTGTCTGATCAGCACCTTCCTGGAAGACGGGATTCGCATGTGGTTCCAGTGGAGCGAGCAGAGAGATTACATCGACACCACCTGGAACTGCGGCTATCTCCTGGCGTCCATCTTTGTCTTCATCAACCTCTTTGGGCAATTAAGTAAGTGGGTTTAGGGTGGACCCCGGCTGGGTTTCTTTGGCGGGGGGTGGCGGGTGTTGCAATCAGGAATCAAAACCAAGAAGCTGTATTTTTGCAAATAATTCAAGGTGGTGAACATTTCTAATTCTCCTTTCTCTTCCTGTTTTCCCCACTGAAACAACCCTGTGAGTTGTGGGCTGAGAGCGAATGACTGGCCCAAAGTCGCCCAGCTGGCTTTCATGCCTTAGATATGGGACTAGAACTTCATTCTCCTGGTGATTGGCTCAAAGTCACCCAGCCAGCTATCATGCCTAAGGCAGAACTAGAACTCCCAGTCTCCTGGTGATTGACCCAAAGCCACCGAACTAGCTTTCATACCTAAGGCGGAACTAGAACTCACCGTCTCCTGGTGACTGGCCCAGAGTCGCCCATCCGGCTTTCATCCCTAAGATGGAACTAGAACTCAGCAGCTTCCGGTGATCGGCCCAAAGTCATGGCTAAGGCAGGACTTGAACTCACGATCTCCTGCTTTCTAGCCTGGTGCCTTAACATTAGACCAAACTGGCTCTTCGTTTCATCATCGTGTTGGGTTTAGCTGAGGGAGAGTGGACAGCTTCTGGGATGGAGAACTTCTACTGATATTTCATTGGTGGGTAATGGGCTGCAGAGCCAGTGGACAGAAGCAGGAAAAAACCTGCTAAACGAATGGCCACTCACTTAACACCGGAAATTTGGGGGCTCAATTGCAGTCGTAAGTCAAGGACTACTTGCATTTTCTTACATTTCCCCCCCCCCCCCCCCGTTTTCTAGGTGGTTGCATTCTTGTGCTGAGCAGGAATTTTGTTCAGTACGCCTGCTTCGGATTATTTGGAATTATTGCATTACAGGTAAGAAGCCTTGGGAATTTGTTTCTCCGTTCCAAAAACGATTGCAGAAAGAGTGAATTCTGTGAGGGATTGAAGTGGGCCTCCGAGCAGATGGGGGACTATTTTCAAGGTTTTTCTCATCTCTCTCTCTTTTTTTTCCCCTTCCCCTTCTAGACAATTGCATATAGCATTTTGTGGGACTTGAAGTTTCTGATGAGGTATGTTCATTATCAACTCAAAACATTCCTATGCCTGTTTTAGTAGTTGCAATTTAAAAGCGGGGGTGGAATCTGGAAGAGCGGGACAATTCAAGGCTGGCCTTAGTTTAGTGTATTGTGGGAATAGGGTGGGGATTTTTTTTCCCCTATTTTAACGCAGGGCCCATCAATGGAGCAATACTGACTTCTTTGCATCCCACCTTAATGTTTTTTTACAAGTAACTCAAGGCGGCAAACCTATCCAGCACTATTTCATTTCCCTTTATTTTTTTCCCAAAATGACAACTCTGAAAGATGGGTTGGGCTGAGAGGGAGGGGCTGGCCCAAAGTCACCCAGCTGGTTTTCATGCCAAAGGCAGGACTAGACTAAGGCAGGACTAGAACTCATCATCACCCGGTTTCTAGCCCGGTGCCTTCACACCTAGACCAAACTGGCTGGCCTGTCGAATTTACAGCCCTTTTAACGTGGTTCCCCCCGAAGGAGAACGATAGAGAATGCGGCCTTGAAACGTTTTCATCTCTGCTGACTTTGCCGCGAAGGTTTTGCAAATTTGGTTGCGCCAGACGTTACGATTCCGACCGACACGCACGTTGTCTTGGCTTGTCTGTTTTTTTTTTTTCCCCTTCTTTCTTTCCTGCAGAAATCTTGCCCTAGGAGGGGGTTTACTACTGCTGTTGGCGGAGTCTCGGTCGGAAGGGAAAAGCATGTTTGCGGGGGTCCCCACCATGCGGGAAAGCTCCCCGAAGCAATACATGCAGCTGGGAGGACGCGTGCTTCTAGTCCTCATGTTTATGACCCTCCTGCATTTAGACGTTAGTTTCTTTTCGGTAAGTGACCCAACATCATTGAACATAGAGGTTTCCCCCGGCTTCTGTCCTGCTGCCTCTGTTCAGGCAGTCCACAGGGAACAACCTCCGTAAGGTACAAGTCATCCTCCACTTACGAACGGTCGCTTAGCGATCGTTCAAAGTTGCGACAGACTTCCCCCCACCCACTCTCGAAAAGTACCTACCATCTGGTTCCAGAGTTCCGACAGCTGCCCATCTCCCCTTGGTCACATGACTGCATTTTGGAACACTCCTTTTATGGCTCTTTGCAGCATCCCAGTCGCATGGCTGTGATTTTATTTTTTATTTTTTATTATTATTATTATTATTATTATTATTCTATGCTGCAACTCTGGGCGGGTTACAACATCAGAAAAGCAAAATTGCAAATATGGAATAGAACAGAATAGAAATAGAATAAGAAATAGAATAAGAATTAGAAATAGAAATAGAATAGAATAAGAAATAGAAGAAATAGAATAGTATAAAAAATAGAATAGAATAAGAAATAGAAATAAAATAATACAAATAGGAAAAAACTTTTGTCACTTTAAATGTATGCTAATCACCAGAGTTTCCAAACAGGTGGTCCTTGACTTAGGACCACATCTGAGCCCAAAATCTCTGTTGCTAAGGGAAGACGGCGGCTAAGTGCGTTTTGCCCCATTTTATGACTTCCCTTGTCACCGTTGTCAAGCGAATCCCTGCAGCCACTCAAATTAAGTAATACAGTCCTTAAGTGAATCTGTCTTCCACCATAGACTTTGGCTTGTCAGAAAGTCACCAAAGCTGGTCACGCAATAAGGCCGCATCGGGGACCACCTAGGACTCTCGAAGGCCACAAATCTGGAAGTTGACAAGAGTGGGACAACCTTGACTCGGGGTTTGCTGGGTTTCCACCTAGCTCTCATTCACGGTTTGTTTTTTCCTTGGTTGTCGCAGATCCTGCAGAACCTGGTGGGCACGGCGTTGATCATCCTGGTGGCCATCGGGTTCAAAACCAAGCTGGCGGCCTTGACTTTGGTCATCTGGCTCTTTGCCATCAACTTGTATTTCAACGCTTTCTGGACAGTTCCAACCTACAAGCCCATGCACGATTTCCTGAAATACGACTTCTTCCAAACTATGTCGGTCATCGGGGGCCTCCTCCTCGTGGTGGCCCTGGGCCCCGGCGGCGTCTCCATGGACGAGAAGAAGAAGGAATGGTAGAGAAGAATGGAGGAAGAGGAGGAGGAGGAGGAAAAGCAACACAGCATCTCAGCATCTGGGAACTGACTCACAGTTTTGGGAATTGAAAACCCAACAAAACTGGTGTATTTTTTTTTTTACAAAGGTGCCTCCTTTTCTCTCCTTTTTTTTTAAAAAAAGGCACAATCTCTTTGGTTTTTTTCTTTTTTAAAGTTGTTTTAGTTCACGACTGCTCTGATAATCCGACTCCCGTTGCCGGATGTTTCTTCGTTCAAGAACATTTTGAGGAGGGTTTTTTTCTCTCTCTCTCTCTCTCTCACACGGTTTTTCTCTCCTATAATCTCCTGCAAAATTGGAAGAAGCAGCTGGCTAGGCTGAGTCTCTGCCACAGTTGAATTTCTTTTTGACAACTTTTTTTGGGGGTTTAAATTTAAAGCTACTGTGATCCGATAAACCTTGCTGTGTACTTTTCAGTGTGACGGGTGTGTTCCATTTTAACCTTTTTTGGTTTTCGGTTGATGCTCAAAGTTGTAATTAAAATGGTGTCGCATCCCAGATGAACGGCCCATCCAAGTTATAAATCTAACAGGTTACTCCAAAAGAATTCAAAGAGAACTTTTACACCATTGCAGAATTTGAAAAATATTCATTCTGCGACAAGTAGGAGCAAAATCAGAATCTCTTCCAGCCGCTTTTTAACTCCAGGGGGGATAGGGGGAAATATTTCCCACAACAAATGAATTGTATGCAGGTAGTCCTCGTATTATGGCCACAATTCAGCCACAAATCTGTCACTGAGCGAGACAGTTAAGTGACCGTTGCCCCATTTTACAACCTACCACTTAGCCACAGTTGCTAAGTGAATCACTCCAGTTGTGTAGTAACACGGTGGCTAAGCGAACCCCACAGGATGCTCCAACCGTCATCAATATGATTCAATAATTGCCAAGTGTCTATATTTTGATCGCATGACAATGGGGCAAAACTCACTTAGTAAATGTCTCATTTAGCAACAGAGGTTTTGGGGCACAGTTGTTGTAAGTTGAGGATGACCTATAATTGGTCTCCTGCTTCAGCGTTCCCTGGAAGTATTATTTGGCCTTCCGTCTGCACTTATTCACTGCTAAGTGACCAGCAGAATTAGAAATTGATTCAAAAAAAAAAAATCAGGGTTCTGACATTAAACTCTTTTATTTCCTCGTGGCAATTTTGCCCTTGACTGTCAGGTGAAGAATTTCAGAAACGCAGCAGAGTTGAACAACTTTATATATAAAGGAAGTACAACAACATGTATACAATTCCAGACCCCCCTCCAAAAAAAGGACCATGCTTAAATAAAATGCAACATTCTCGTGTTCTAAGTCTTCTCGCCACGCTAAACTGGAGCTTGGCCCATCAGAAAGACTGGATTTCTGTCAACTTCTCTTTTGAAGCTTTTTAGATTTTCTGTTCCACTTTTTAAATTTTTTCTTCCGAGGGCCGACTTGTTTCTGGACAGACAAAGGGTGGAGGGGAAAAAAGGCAGACCCGTAAGCGGACACTTGTAGATATTTTTTTTTAAAGTTTCTAGGCCTCATGAGTACAGGACAAAGACTTACTAACTGGGATTTGGCAATCCGAATCTAATCCTTATATATGTTACCGGGGAAAAGTCCTTGGTAATGCTTAGAATTATACGCTTTCCCTGCTTAGCTGGATTTTAAAAGGAAACCATGGCTATCTGCCAGAATTAACCTACTATCAAAAATATTACCTTCTATTTAACCTGAGCATTCCTGGGAATATTCATTTCGACACCTGCCTTGCCGGCCCATTTCTTCTGCAGCTGGCAAGGCTTTCCTGAAGGCCTCGAGCTGAGACAGCTTTGGATCGATCCAGAGCTCTCTTACTTGCCGCAGAGGCTTCCAGGAAAGCCTTGAAGTTTCTGAAGGCCAAAAAGGAGGCCGGGGGTGATGTGCGTAAGTGAGATTGGTCAGTGGATGGCATCCCCCCAAAATAAGACCCGATTCCTTTTTTGGTGGAAAAAAAAAACACAAGACTTATTTTCAGGGAAACACAGGTATATAAGTGACATTAATAGTGTGAAGGAATGGGACTGTCCCCAAATTCCTAACGGGTCAGAAACGGATGTGGTGTAAGCAGGGCTTAACAGGAGCCACGCAGAGCACATGCAACTCCTAAGTCTTAACCTATCAAAAAGGTAAGCCACGAACACAACCACAAACGTCAAAAGGTGTCAGGTTTACCTTTCTCCTTTTGGTGGCTGTCTGTGAATCAACCTCCATCATTTCGACCCGGCTGCCATTTTCCACCCCTGGCCTCGCAGGGTCTTCGTCACTGTCGCTTGTAAATTCGTCAGGGGTCTCCTTGCCTGTGGCACTTTTCCTTGGGAAGAGCTCGGCTTTGAAAATAAGCATTAAGTGTTAATGTTTAAGCATTAAGTAAAAAAAAAAAAAGCCCTTAAAACCAACAGCAGAACCTTCCTTATAAATTCTGCCTCCAGAAACCAGACCCGCTGGCATATACCAAAGAGCAGAGTTACGATTTTAGAAGATGGCTAAACTATGGGAGTGAATAAGCTGCCATTCCTCGTAACGCAGTTAAAATATCTTTTATTTCTTTATTGGGCTTGTGCTGTACTGTCCCTCTCTGTCCGGAGATGACCCTGGGTGGCTTAGAAACGTTAAAACCAGAAAAGATAACAAATTACAAAGATAAGACAGTAGTAACAATTCTCAGAGTTATGGCTACAAATCTATCAGTAGAAGGTTAAAAGTGGGAGAGAAAAGGCGAATAGAATATAAGTTCTCTGCCCAAGATGGAAGGCATGTGCACAAGGCTGGAATTTTCTTGCCTCGTTTGTCGTTTAAAACATTTTTAACTTTAGTGAAAAAGGCTCGCTCACAGCTGCTTAGGAATATCGGTTTTCCCTTAAGTATTACAACAGATGTAACAGGCAAGGAAACAGAATGGGGTGGGCAAAGGGAGACGGCAAACCCAAGACCGGCTAAGTCTGCTGTGGCACCGCTAGCAGATTTGGACAATGAGGAGGCTGGGGAGGAACACGGGGCAGTCATGGAGTCAGGAAGGCTCGCGACGTGGGCTGTGCGTCGAGGCAGAGATGGGGCCAGGGCCGTTTGACAGTTATCAGCTGCCTTCGGAGTTGGAGATCAGTGAGGCAGAAGAACATCTGGAGCCTGTTCCCTGTGTGCGGATGCACAGAGCTGCCAGGAGAAGGGAACAGCTAAGGAACAAGGGCCCACTTGGGAGTAAAGGCACAGGTGAATGGCCCCTCCCATAGGGAATAAAAGAGGAGCGAAAGGGGAGTGGTGTTTGCAGGAGACAACGAGTTCAATTCAGCAGGGTGAAGATCCGTTCCTGACTTCTCGCCAGGAAGTATTGACTGCTACAGTGTGGCATTTGGAAGACATCGATCGGCCTGGCAGCTCTCCAAGCCTGATAAAGGTCTGTGGTTCCAATTCAGCCTTGAAAGATTGTTGGCTGGGACTTTGTTGGATGTGAATGAGAGGAATTCACATGAGCCTAATAAAAAGTGGTTTCATCGGGATGAGAAGCCACAGCCAGAACGAAGTCTTAGCTCGCATCCGGATGCCCTTTTTGGCCTTCCAGCTCACTCACCTGGATACAAGTCACTCAGGCTGTCGTCGGTTTCGCTGCCTCCTTCATCGCTGGCGGGAGGTTCCCAGAATGCCCCCTTCGGCTTCCCCCTCCTTTCGCAAAGCCCGTTGTCTGTTTCTTGCCGCGGCCGTCGGCGTTTATGCAAGAGGGAAGCCGGGACGTATTCCAGCCCTTCTTTCTGACATTCTTCATCTGTAGACAGGAGAGAGACTAGGATCCCATCCAGAAAGATTTCTCTTCCTCCTTTTGAAGCCACTGGATGCTAAGTAGGGTCCGTGTGTCTGGGCCAGTCTATCCTGGAATACCCGGGACCCCCTTGCCTGCTTCCCTCCCCCGGGAGGACATTTTTCTTCCCCTCCTTTGCCTTTAGGAACAATATTAAGGATCGGAGGACGTGATCTGCCCATCTCTTGGGGTAAGTTGAGGAAGAAGAGGGAGCAAAGGAAGCGTTTAAGGTAAGGCAGATGAAAAAAAAGAAGCACTCCGGTGCCAACTCACATCGCCGAAGCGCCTTCTGATAACGCCGGCCTCGGACATGGCGGAGAACATGCTCTGGGATCTTATTGAGATGGCGCAGGGTGAGTTTGCAGAATAGCTGATTCCTAGGAAAAAAAGGGGAAAAAAACAGTGCGTGAAAAGGATTCATTCTTGAAGCTCTTCGTACTTAGGTGGTTGTTGTTTTTTCTAGTTCATTTGACACTCTTAGTTGTTGGTAGCAATGCAAAGGAGAGAAAGATGGCTGCTTATCTGGAAAGGACTGTTTGGGACTCATTACCGGCTGGGAATGAACATAATTCCCAGCGTTGAAATAACACAAGAGTCGTTTTAACTCATCGTGTGCTTTTATTACGGTCTCGGGAAGCCTTGGTCAGAACACTTGTAACATGGCTTGCTACTTTTGAGCTAAGCACAATCGCAGGCTGCCTCCCGAAGAAACCACAAAACTCAGCCATTAGCCCCACTGGGGATACCGTTTGCAATACACACACACACACACGTACGGATTTTTGGTGCTCGGCACAATGTGTGGTTCGTACTCGCTGTAGTCCAAGACCTCGGAAGTCTTACTCAAGCGCAGGTATCTCTTCCCAGCTGTAAAAGCTTGGAGTTCAGGCAACCGGCAAGGCAGCTCATGGCCAGTCAACGTACAGCGGACCTGGAAGAGAAAAGCGGGGAAAATAAAGACCGATTCAAACGGAGCCATGTCATTTGGGCAACATTCCTGGGATTACTGAGTGGTGGCTCATCCGAATGTCAATCGGCTGAGAGTTCTTCAGCTTTGGAGACCAGCTGAGGCAGGCCAGGTGCTGCCAAACCAATATATTCCCCAAGAGCTAGCTGGATACCTAAGCACAGACCAATTCACATGTAATTTTCCAGCATGGTCAATTGTCCATCCTGGGCTTTCCGAGTTACCTGATTTCTGAGTGGTCTCCCGTTCGTTTATCCAGCTTTTTTTTTTTTTAATAAGCTTCAGAGGCTGGAGAGGGAGGAGTAGATGCTGCCAAGTCAACATGCCCTCAAGAGTCACCTGCCGATGCCAAGACCAACTCAAATGCAACCTTCCAGATTGGCCAACTGTCCACCCTGGGGATTTTTGAGGGGTTTCCCCTCTGAGGGGGTCCATCACCCCAGCTTTCTCCAGCAGAGCCCAGACAAAGCAGACCAGGTGCGGCCGAGCCAACATCTCCTCCGAATTTCAAAGTTTCAGGTGGAATTTTCCAGCTTGGTTGAAGCCTGTGGGATTTCCAAGTGATCTCCCGTCCATCAGCCCAGCCGTTTTGGGGGGCGGACAAGGCAGGACAGGTGCTGTCAGGCCAACTTCCCTAAGCCAAGACCCAATTCGCACCCAACTAACTTCCCAGCTTGGGCAACAGGGATCTCCCAGTGGTCTCCCTTCCAATCAGCCGTTTGGAGCTCTGGCAAGGCAGGTGCTGCCAAGCCGACCTGCCCTGGAGAACAGCCTGCCCGACTCAAAGGGAGGTTTCCAACTTTCCACATCCTCCTGATTTCAAAGTTTCAAATGGAACGTTCCAGCTTGGTCCAACCCTGTGGGATTTCCGAGTGGTCTCCCATCCACCAGCCCAGCCGAGCTCCGCAGCAGATCCGGAAACCGGCGAACGAGCGCCGATCACACCTTTTTCCCCGGAGGGAGGACGCGCAAGCTCGGGTGCCGCTGCAGGAAACGCTGCAGCTCGGAGGAAAGCGGCGCCGATCCCGCCTCGCCTTCTTCTCCTCCTCCTCCTCCTCCTTCTTCTCGCCCGCGTAACAGCCCAGCCATGTTTCTGCAACGTACCGGAAGTCGTGGCGGCGCGACCCGGAAGTCCCCTCCCGCTTGACCCCTTTCCTCCCGGGCAAGATGGCGGCGTGGCGGCGGTTACTAGGCGACGGGGGCGTCCGGGGCGCCCTCGGGAGGCTCCGGGTGAGTCTCGGCCCCTCGCATGGGGCCTTTTGACCTTGCCGGGCAGCCGCTTTCAGCACCGTGGGGCTTAGGAGGGGGTTGTTTGGAAGGACCCGGCTGGGAGTTATGGGCATCGGAGTGCCATGCCCTTGGGGGAGCCCCAGCTTGCAGTGGCATAGGTGGCTTGAAGGGGCCCGGCTGGGAGTTATGGAGATTGGAGTGTGGGGGAGTCCAGATTTCAGTGGGATGGGCAGCTTGAAATAGCCTGGCTGGGAGTTATGGGGATTGGAGTCCCAAACAATTGTGGGAGACCAGTTTTCAGCGGCATGGGTAGTTTGAAAGACCCTGATGGGGAGTTATGGGCATTGGAGTGCCAAATATTGGGGGGCAGGGGGGGAGGTTTCAATGGCATGGGCCATTTGAAAGGCCCCGTCAGGAGTTATGGGCACTGGAGTGCCAAACCGTGGGAGGGCCCTAGCTTGGCTCTCTTGACAGCCCTGCAAGGTAGGCCGGGTCCTCTTCTCAATGAGTTGGGGGCTGGGTGAAATAAATCAAGCAGTGGGTGAAATAAATCAAATAAATTGAAATTTGGGGTTTCTTTCTCCCAGTCTTCCTTCAACTTCTACTCTTTTCCTTCAGTTTTCCTGCCTGGATGATGGAAGGAAGTCTTTTACTCGTAGCCATTGGAAAAATGCTTTACAGCAGCCCCCGAGTGAGTTGAGCCCATGTGAAATAACCGTTTTGTTGTAGAAAAAAACTATGTTTTTTAAAAAAGAACACTGTTGCTTTATATTTTTATTTATTCATTCATGACATTTTTATTTCATTCCTTCATTCAATTTCTCAAGCCACTCAGCTCAATCAAGGGATTCTGGGCAGCTTGTAATTCTAAAGAATTATAAAACCATTAAAAAAACTTTCAGACAGTAAAAACATCCATGCAAACAGCAGCCATGTTGATTATTCTGTACTGCCCATCTGCCCTGAGTGACTATGGGCAACTTACAATAAAATATTCAACAGTAAGGTATTTTATTAATAAACTGCCCAGAGTCAGCTAGGTAAGTTGAGTGGGGTGGATATTTATGAAATAAACATGGTGCCATTTCTGAGTTTTTACAAATAGCTTAGTCAGTAATAGTATTTTTTTTTCTCTTTTTTTTCCCCTTCCCCAGAAATTTGTTGGAGGCTTTGTCCAGCCAGAAACTTCGCCTCAGCTGCTGCTGCTGCTGCTGCCAAATCCACAGAAGAAAACATATTAAAATGGGGACTTCTGCTCATCCCAATAGGTTCATTTTTCCTTGGCTGTTGGCAGGTAAATGACACTCCTGAAGTGAGGGCTGGCAGCTTGGAGCTTTTTAACTTGAGGTTAAATGAATGTCACTCTTATTATACTAATTTATTCAGAAGAGCAAATTTTTAAAAACTGCCTACTTGGCTGGGTAGATAAGTGGTGCTGTTTTGAGAGAGGAATTCTGTAGATCGAGATGTGTTTCTCCTACTTGACAGTGGAACAAAAGTCCAACGTTTTGTGCTTTATGTCAGGTTCAGCGGCGGGAATGGAAGCTGAAGCTGATCGCTGAACTGGAAAGCAGGGTTTCTGCTGAGCCAGTTTCACTGCCAACAGAGTAAGTGTCTTTTGGGAATGGGGAAGAGAATTAGAATATTACCAAGAACGTCCAATGGGCACCTCCACTTTGATTTTCATGGGAAGACCGATCATGAAATTATTTATTTTCGTCAGAAAGAAAACCGGTGCTGCTGTTTGCTTGCCGCTCCTTTTTTCCAGCCCAGAATGCGCTCTGCTTCCTTCAGTCCTCCAGAGAACAAATTCTCTTTTGTTTAACTCAGGAGTCTCCCAACTTGGCCACTTTTTAAGACTTGTGGACTAAAGCTCCCGGAATTCCCTCAGCATGGCTGGCTGAGGAGATTCTGGGAGCTTGGAAGTCCACAAGTCTTAAAATGGCCCAGCTTGGAGAAGCCTGATTGAACTTGAGCCTCTTTTCAAAATGTACTATACAAATAACAATAAAATGGCGGCCAGGACAGAGGTTTCCCTGCATCTTTACTTTTCTGCAACCGCAACCTTCCAGAATATACGTCTTGCCTTATTTCACTGCAAACTACTTTTGTTGCTAGTTTTATGAGAACTGTAGCCCTGGCAGCCGTAACTGTTCCAGTTGCCAGCTACTGTAGTTGGCAGAGGGTATATTATACGGGGACAAAAAATAGTGGGAAAATTACAATTTTCGAGGTATTTGAAAACACGCATGCACATTCAAGCAGCTGGCTTGCTTAAGTTTTCTTTATAGCAAGTTCAGGCTGCTGCCTCTTTCTTTACTATTACAGGCAGTTAAGTTTGTTCTCCCCTGCTCTCAGACATAAACAACAATATTAATCGGCAAAGCTATTTTTCTCACCAGGCGGGGCTTCTGCTGTCTTAAGCAATAACCCAGATTTCCCTTCCTGTCTTGCTCCTTTTCTACAGCCTCTATGAACTGAACGAACTGGAATACGTGCCAGTCAAGGTCAGAGGTCATTTTGATCACACCAAGGAGCTGTACGTGCTCCCACGTTCCCCAGTGGACCCTGAGAGAGAAGCCAGGAATGCCGGCCGTATCATGTCTAATGTAGAGAGTGGAGCCCACGTCATCACCCCCTTTTACTGCACTGACCTTGGGTGTGTATATTATCAGCTACCAAGGTTTAAGTGGCTGCCCAGAGTTGGGTGAAAGACAGGCGGCTGTGTAAATGTTTTTTAAGTAAATAAAATGCAGCGGTTACACTCACTCACCCTGAGGAATTCACTCGGTGAAAGTTCCCACTGAGTAAGCTTTTATTATTTTTTTAAAACCCTGCAGGATAACGATTCTTGTCAACAGAGGATTTGTTCCCAGAAAGAAGATGAATCCAGAGACCAGGTTAAAGGGACAGGTACGCTGTTTGCTTTCCATGGGTGAGCATGCTTCCGCTTAAAGAGTAAAATGAAATTCTGCCTGGAACAATATGGTCATAATCAGAATAATTTATAATATGTGTGGATTCCGGCAGTCGCCCCCAAGTACATCCTGAGTCTCGGGCCAAACTTCCAAAACTTCAAAGGGTTTTATTGGGAGTTAACATGTCCGACTCTGCCTGGGTGTCGCTGATTTTGAGACACATCATTCATTGTCACCCTTAACCCTGGTCTTACCCCCCACCCCCTGGGTGTATCCTAATTCATATCCTCCAATGGGACACACCCATAGCCCAGAGTCATCAATCATGCTCTCCAGTTAGAATTTTGCCTGGCAGAAACTTCAGTCACCTAGTTACTATCTTTGAAAACATTTATGGAATGCAAGCTGCTACACTGCCCCACCCCGCTTTCTGTTGGCAGCTCTAAAAAGATCATAGGGATATTTTATGAGTTGACAATGTGTTGAAATGGCTTTTATGTATTTGTTTTGGATTGAACTAGCCAAGTTTTAAAGAACGGAAACAAGAGTTGGATTTTTCTTTTTTCTTTCCTTTTTTTAGATCCAAGGGGATATTGAACTCACCGGGCTGGTGAGGCTATCAGAACCTCGGAGAGCTTTTGTGCCGGAAAATAACATCGAACAAAACATTTGGTTTTATCGTGATTTGGATGCCATGGCCAGGGTCACGGGAGCAGAACCCATTTTTATTGATGCAGATTATAGTAAGTCCCCCTAAATATTGCTCCTCCCTATGATTTCCCTGGATGGTGCACACAGCTTTCCTAAAATGGACTAACATCAGATGTCCACTAGGTAGTTTAAGGAATTATTTGAGTGGAGCAGGCCCTGGGTTAGGAGAGCCCACTCTGTGGTCCTCAGATACGGTATGTTAGATTTAAATTCCTCTCCAAATGCATAGAATTGCGGAATTTGTCACCCCAAATAAACCAGAGGATGCCAGCTACTCTATTTATCTGCACATGTGAAGAATGTAGATCTTGATGAAATTCAACACTTAACACCTTTGGAAGTGGCATTCTGGATTAGCCACACAGGAAACCATCATAAGTGACCTGTGTACTTAACTTGGTTAATTTAGTACTAAATAGCGTGTTTCAAGATTTATACCAAAGCTTAAAAACTGCTACAAGGTGTAAACTAATGAGAAGCAGTTGATAAACGCACCAATATACACTCCCCTCAGGAAGATGTGCCAATAATCTTAATGGCAGAATGATTGTCTCCATAAAAAAGCCCAACTTTTGGTAATTATGGGCTCCAATTGTCTCTATCTATACTCACAGGGAGCTCAGTTCCCGGAGGACCGATCGGGGGCCAGACCAGAGTAACTTTACGAAATGAGCACATGCAGTATATACTTACTTGGTGAGTAGCAAAACAGCTAGTAGGGAGGGGCAGGCAAGAGCGGAAAAGATGAGGAAGAGTAAATCTGCAAGCGATCCACAAATTTACTCTCCAAATTGTTAAAATACACCCTCCCTAATGAGTTAAGCCGCTGCAAAATCCTCGTGTTTTTATTTCTTGACGTTTATGCACATACACGGCAAGTTATCAATAGCTTTCCACGAGGCAAAAGGTTCTAATCTGCCTAAAACAAACCAGGATGTCTTGTTGGTTCCAGTGCCCCTGTGGCTTAATCTACATATCAGTGGCTCGGGGCAGGTGGTAAATTTTCCATAGTTCCTACTAATCCAGAATACCAACAAACAAATCTTGATTATGTCAACGAATTTGTTTTTAGTGCTATGGATGTCCAATATTTGCCCTCATTGAAGAAAACATTATCAAGTTGAAACTCTGGTCTTAAATTATAAAAATAAAATTCTCGGGAGCCTCTGGTCAAGAGGGATGGGCTCTGAATCTGGAGTGGATGGCTTTTGAGTGCATTCAAGAGTCCTTTTCCTTACTCCTTTAATGGAATTCCGCCCCCCAGTACTACAGAACCAATTTAAATCCTTGTGGAACCCCAAGAAATACTTTGAATCAACTGGACTAACAGTGTGACCCATACGGAAATAAACTTTTCCAAGCACCCTCCTGCCCCTCATCAAGTAGATTCATCTACATAAATCAAGGGATCTAGAGATTTAAGCAGAAATTGTTTCTGAATCGATAGCTCAACTCAATCATACAAAACCCGGCGGAGTCTTCATGTGCACTAAACCCAGGGTTTGCTCCTTCTGTGCAGGTACGGTCTGTGTGCAGCCACTTCCTTCTTGTGGTACAAGAGGTTCATTCAGAAGGTGCCTTTCTGAGTCCTACAACCGTTGGATGAATGTGGCTTGGGTGTGGCTTTAAAAAGTGGCCATCTAGCCCAGGTCGTAGAATGGAGCGTTTGCAAGATGATTTAAGACTTCTTGGTGGCACTCAAGCCAGGAATTGCTGGAAACCAGGCAGTTTTCTCTCAAAAGTAAGCTGATCACCGTATATTTGGGGAAATATTGCTGGTTATCAGAAGACAATTAAGTAGTGGGGAGTCTTGAAGGAAAAAAAGTCGCCAATGAACAAGAAATTGATTAAAATTAGGCATAAGAGGTACCCTATATTTGTGGTAATACGAATCGTGTTTCTTGAAAAATTGACTGCAAATAAAATGTCTTTTTACCGTGCCAACTCTTCCTGGTATTGCATGACGGGGTAACGGAAAACAGGAGAAAGAACTACTGCTACCATAATGCCAGTAATTTTAGGGCAGTGATTCTCTCAGCCCAATCTCACAGAGTTGTTAGGAAAATAGGAAGAGGAAGGAGTATTAGGTACCTACAAGCCTAATATTTTTTCCGGTTATACTCTATAAAAATGGGAGGGAGAGTTGCACATTACCCACCACTTTAAAAAAATTACCCCTTTGAAGTCATCAAAGCACACACACAAAAGCCTTGTGTTTAGAATTTTATTTTTATGTACAGAAAAACTGACACATCTATTATCCAAGCTTGGTGGCCAACTCTTTCGCTTTGGCTTTTTCAAGCTTAGCAATCCGAGCAACAGATTTGGGACCGAGGACGTTTCCACCCCAGTGGCGACGAATCTGGAAAGGAGGGGAAAAAACAAAATTTGTTTGCAAAAAGAAACGCTTCATTCGGCCATACTGCTGTCTCTTTGCAATTACAGTCTCTTTCCAAATTATTGTGTATTGCGGTAACTCAGAAGCTAACAATTAAAGAGTGCTGAATAACATATATTTCAAGCCTCTTAAAGCCGCTGCTGGCTACATTTTTAGCAGGCTACGCAAGCAGAACGAAACCAAACCAAACATCAGGCGGGCCCAGTCTTACCTCATCGTATCTCTCGTTGTAGTTGGTCTTAACAGCTTCCACCAGTTTAGCCAAGGCTCCTTTGTCCTCACTGCGTAGAGAAAAGATCGGGTCAAGGCCACCATTTCGAGATGAAAATCTCACGTAATAAACCTTACACGTAAGTCTTTGACTTGCATTCATTCCTTTGAGCCCCTGTCCAAAGTCTCAATGGCACTGAAAAAAGTCGACTTGTTGCCATTTCCCACACCCTAGCAGTTTCTCCATAGTCACGTGATCAAAGCTCAAAGATACCTGGCCACTGACTCGTATTTATGACGGTTGCAGTGTCCCAGGGTCATGGGCTCAGTTGTGGTCGTAATTCAAGGACTACCCGTATCCAGCTGCTCTCCTAATGGTGCTCCAACCCACCGCAAGACTATGACCTTCTAAGCAGTTATTGAAATCATGACTGCTCAGTTGGCACCCCAACTCCAGTGTACCGGAAGGACCACAGTCAAGCCCCCCCCTTCAGGGCTACTTACGGGTTAACCTGGGTGAAGGCCACGCAAGTGCAGGTTTTCCGGTGGACGAGGCGACCCAGCCTGGCTTTGCCTTTGATGATGCAATAGGGGACCCCCATTTTTCGGCACAAGGCGGGCAGGAAAACCACCAGCTGCACCGGGGAGAAGGAAACAAACCTCTTTACAAGGGGACCCCGCTGCGTTTCTGACACTGACTAGAAGGGAGAGATCCGGGCAGCGGCCATCGCTCAGTGTTAAAAAGCTCGTTTAGTTTTGCTCTCCACGGGGGAGTCAGGTGAAGAAATTCAAACATCATTGCAATGGCCAAGCCCACGCAAGTCACAAGAGGATTTTGAGAGCAGCCACTTCCAGGCTCACAAATTATCCCCCTCCCCAAATTAACCAAGTGAGTCACGTTATGAAAGAATCCGACAAGAGTGATGCCAAGGGTACCATTTTCCCCTACCAGAGAATGAAGCTCATAGATGGAAGATTAACGATTAAGGGAACAGATCCCAGGTTCCTTATGCCTGAGTTTTTCACCCTAGTCCACCTCAAATACAAGGCTAAAGTGCATCCTACCCATTGATCAAAGAGGAAAGGAAAAAGACTGGAAATGCTGTTTATTCCTGCCTGGGAGCCAAAGGTTTATTTGTGAAAGCTGTTGCTTCTTTACTTCCAATGCCTGGGAGAGAAGAGTGTTGAATTTGGGACTCTACCACGCTATAGCACGAAATCTGGAAATGGAAACGGACAAATCCGCTTCCCATCTGCTTTACCTCAACGGGGTCTACATCGTGTGCGATCACCACCAGCTGAGCCTTCTTGTTCTCCACCAAAGTTGTGACTGTGTTGACACCTGAAAAGATCCCAAAAATCCCCCTGTAAGCTAAATTTTACAGCATTAACTAAGCTGGACATAATGCCGTCGAGGAGGAATGAGACAACCCGCTAAAGCTCAGAGTCAAATTAGCCAATGTCTTTTGGTCTTCAATCTGCAGTTCAGGTGAAGAAATCCTCACATCAGTGCAATAGCCGGTCGTCGAGAGAAAACCCCTTTCTAGCTAGCCAAGCCTAGGAAAGCCACACACAGACGCTCAAAACGTTTTACCTGCCCTCAGCACAGGCGGCCTTTTGGTCGGAACGTCGCCCTTCCCTGCGGCTTTCTGCTCTGCCCGTGCCAACAACCTCTGTTTTTTCTCCTGCTTGGTCTCAGGCCTGTATTTGTGAGCCAGCTTCAGAAGCTGAGTCGCTGTGGAGATAAAGACGTTAAATGAGAACTGGAGGATTTTTCTCTGCCCGTCCTCTGGCAGCTTTAATGGAGGATCCTTGTGCATCAGCGATCTTGGTGGTTGGGAGTCGTCAAGAAAGCTCAGATATTTGCTTCCATCATCTGCACATTAAAGAATCTTTTCTCCTTTAGGCTAAACCCCAAAGAGGGATTCCTTCCTCCCCTGGACCCTGCATTGTTTAGAATGTAGCCAACAAAATCACACCCCCAGATCATTTTTTTATTGGCACGTAAATTACTGTGCTCCGAGTTGGCAACTGAGCACCAAAAGAACACTTTGAGCAGTGAACTGCATGCTGTAATTAGCAACCACTAAGGCAAACCTCCCCAAAGCTACTTCCAAGTTTCACAACCCCCCGTCATCCCATAATTGAAGTTTGGGTGCTTGTCAACCCACCCGCCAAATTTACGGCTATCTGTAGAGTCCCACAGTCCCATGACTGCAATTTATAACTTTTATTTGCTGGAAAGCAACATTTCTGGCAAAAAAAGAAGTCCATTGGCTACAATAGGTTTACTTAACTATTTACTCACTGAATGACTGCCACAGAGGTCATAAAACAGGGTGCAGTCATGTGAACTGTTAACAATCTGCACAACTTGATGGCTGGGATTCCAATTCTTAAGTCAAGGACTACCTTTATATAGGAAGACCCGTTTTTTACTTGCAGCCCTCCGCTCACCCTCCTTCCTCTGATAATTAAACAGAAAGAAAAAAAAAACACCATAATTTACCCGTCTGGCGGTCCAGGGCCTGGGTGAACTGGTTGACCGCTGGAGGTACCTTCAGCCTCTTGTAAAGGATCGCCCGCTGGCGCTGGAGTCGGATGTAGCGAGGCCATTTCACAAAGCGAGTCAAATCTCGTTTGGGCTGGATATCCTGGCCTGAGAGAGACAGCATTATTAACTCAGGGAGGGTTGCTCGGTAAGCTGGCGGTTTTCCTCCCTCCAGAGCAAACATAAAAGGGGCACCAGCATCAGAGATCTTGGTGGAAAGGCTTGTCAGCACCGCCACTCAGTTAGCAAATATTCTTTTCCATCATTTGCTTGCGCCCTTTTCACGGCATTAAGTTCAAGATGTTAAGATCAAGTTAATAAATTAAACTCCCCCCACAAAAAACCAGATCAAAAGGCCAAGTTCTCCCCTCCTTAATCTATACATTAACTCAGCCTACGTGAGTTTTCTATACCACTTTGCAATGAAATATCAAAGCTTGTTGTTTTATCATTCAAGTAACATCAAAAAGAATATAGTTCCATGAAGAACTGAGGGCAACAATCAAGTTTTCTAATATATAGTGAAAGCACTGCAGTGTGTGGTTCACCCTAACCTTCAGGACGGCTCCCCCAACAGCTCTAATACAGTTGAAAAGCAGGGCAATTTCTCCAGAATGTTAAAATCCAGGAATAAATCTCCTCAACAATTTGATTTCAACCTGTTCAGGACATTATAACAACATCTAGAAAAGGATCTGAAGTCAACAGTGTCTATGGAAATAGCTCCTTATTTGTCCAAAGACCAAAGAAAGCAACCAAGCGCAGAGGCACCAAGGACTCCAAGCCGAATAAATTACGAAGATGCCTTGATGTAAAGCAATTTTGCTCCAATTCCCGATGTCTGATAAAGAAAGGCCCATCAACGTCCTTTTTTCCCAACTCACCGATGCCGAAGTTTTTGGGTCTCTTCTCAAAGAGGGGGTTGACCACCTTCTTGGCCTCCTGCTTCTTGACCACAGCAGGGGCCGGAGCCACCTTCTTCCCCTTGGCCTTCTTTCCCTTTGGCTGGAAAAGCGAAGCACAAGTTTACTCCAGCCATCTACCTCCGAATACGTACATGCATCTTATCTATAACTTTTTTTAAAAAATATATATTTTTTATTATCAATTTTGACTCTGGACCAGCATAAACCTCATCCAACTAAGACGGTTGTGCTTCCCTCGTTCTGAATCACCAAACTTGGGTGGCTTTGAAGACCTGGCGGATTTAATTCCCAGAATTCCCCCAGCTAGCCTAGTCACGGCCATGCCAGTTGGGGAATTCTGGGAACTGAAGTCCACAAGTCTCGTGTGTGTGTGTCTTTTGAAGATCCCTGCTCTAAAACCAGGAGGGCACCAGGCATTGTGTTAAACCTAATTCAGGGATCTGGGCAGCTCTTAAGACTTAGTGGACTTCCACTCCCAGAATCTCCCAGCTCAGCAAGGCTGGTGTAGGAATTCTGGGAGTTGAAGTCCACAAGGCTTTCAATGTCAGGGAAACGCCCGGTCTAATTCATTGATCTTCGCCCAAACCAGCCAGGCCGAAAACTCCAGCCCACCCCAGGACCGGCTTCCCGTCGTTTTTTCCTCCCAATAGAAGCAGCCTCCGGTTCGGCGGGGCTCCTGGCCCTCCGGGGCACGGTAAAGACCCCCAAGTCGGGCCTCCGATGGGCGGATGGCGCCGGATTGAAAGGTCCCCTCTTCCCCCGGTAGACACAACGCGTCGAAAGCACTCACCATCTTAGCTGGAAGAAGGCAAAAGAAAGAACGGTGCCTTCTGGGTAATATAGCGCAGTCGCGCT